ATGTAAATAATCTGGACTTTGGTGTAAAAGACATGGTATCTCCACCCTCAACTCCAGGACCACTGCTGTCCTACCATCCTGCTCGCTCCCTCCGCTCAGCGGGCTCCGGCCTGCTTCACATCCCCCGCCTCGCTCGCCCCACTATTGGCGGGCGGGCCTTCTGCCACTCTGCACCCACCCTCTGGAACTCCATCCCGCAGCCCCTCCACCTCGCCCCATCCCTTGCCACTTTCAAGACGCATCTCAAGACCCTCCCTTTCGACCGTGCTTTCGATCTCCCTGCTTCCCCCCATGCACTCCATCCTCCTCCTCCCCGACACCCAGCTCGGGTCCATACCTCTGTCTGTCCAGTGCCTTGGGACGTACTCCTGATGTGAAAGGTGCTTTACAAATGCAATTGTGTTGTTGTTGTTGTCAGACAGTCCTGGATGAGAGCTAACTTTCTACAGCTGATCGCTACCAAGACTGAGGCCCTCCTGTCAGCGCCTCTTCACCTCAGGCAATGACGGCATCACCATCCAAGGATACACACACAACCTCACTGAGCCAGTCCGGAACCTTGGCATCTTGTTTGACCCTCAACTGTCCTTTCTACCCCACATCCATGACCCGCTCTGCCTTCCCCACCTCCGCAACATTGCCCGGCCTTGCCACTATCTCACACCGAAGGCCGCTGAGACCCTCATGCACGCATTCATAACATCCAGGCCCAACTAAGCAAGCTCCCTGCTTGTCGGCCTCCCCAACTCCTTCCTCCATAGGTTGCAGATGATCTAGAACTCTGCAGCCCATGTCCTCTCCCACACCAGGCTCCGCGATCCTATCACCCCCATCCTCACCTGACTCAACTGGCTTCCCATCACACAGAGGACACAGTTCAAGATACTGGTCCTCGCTTTCAAAGCCCTCCATAGCCTTGCTCCCCCCTAACTCAGCAACCTCCTAACCCCCTACCATCCTGTTCGCTCCCTCCGTTCAGCGGGCTCCAGCCTATTTCATGTCTCCCGCTTCGACCTCCCCCCCACCATTGCTGAGAGGGCCTTTAGCCACTCTATCCCCACCTTCTGTGACTCCATCCTGCAGTTCCTCTGCCTCGTACCCTCCCTTGCCTCCTTTAAGACCCATCTCAAAACTCTCCTCTTTTATCCATGCCTTCGATCACCCTCCTTCCTGCCCTGCCCTCCACCCTCCCTGTTCCTGACCCCCACTTGGATCCGAAAAACTGATTGTCCAGCGCCTTAGGACATCCTCCTGACGTGAAAGGCACTATACAAATATAATCTTGTTGTTGTTGTATCTAAATTTGGTGATAGTACTATATTAGGGATATAGTAAACTGTGAGGAACAAGTTTGAAGATTGCAAGATGTCACAAATAGCAGAGTAAGTAGATAAGTGGAATTCAATAAAGAGAAAGGGAATTTCCATGTATATGTGGGATGCATGGAATCCTCAGTTTGGTTTCAGTACTCTGAAGCATGGCGATGGGTTTCCGCATGTATCAGATGGCCGGCTGACCAAAAAAAGTAATTTTCAATACGTTCAACAAGGACTTTATGTAATTAATTGCTTTTGATCAGAAACACAATATAGTCTCAATCTATATGTATCCAATGGGGTCAGACACCCATCTGAATACTCCAATTTTGGTTACTCTTCATCTGAGTCAAGCATCAGGATTAGATCTCAGTCCAATGGTACAGTAACAACTTACATTTATATAGCATCCTTCTTGTAGGATAACATCTCGGAGCTGTCAACCAAAATGGTACTAGCAGAATTTTCCACTAACTACTGAAAGCCACTTGTAGTGAATTCCATTGCCAACTACCTCTTTTTCGCCCCGAATGCCACAGTAAAGTGATAAAATGATACTTTGAATGCAATTTACCACATTAGGGTAAATTCCTTAAGTATTGAATAGGAATTATCCATTATACATATGACAAAGGGTTCTCCCTCCCCATCCCCAACATCATTCCCAATCTGTGAAGTGGGTTTCTGCACTTGACTTGGAAATTAACAACAACAACTTGCATTTATATAGCGCCTTCCACGCCGGGTGGCGTCCCAGAGCGCTTAAAGATTAAGGAAATTAAGGATTTTGACAATTCAATGCCACCATTGAGAAATTCATTGTACTGCACAACTCATGGACCTTGGCACAGAGAACAGTTTGTAATCTGCCTCTGACATTTCTGAGCAATTCACAACCAATATTTTGGAATTACCAAATTTAAATTAAACCCCAGTATGTCCTGGTTTCGTAAATGTTGGTAAAGTTTCCTTTTTTTCAAATGAAGACAGTTCATCCTTTAAATATTATACAGTATCATACAGAAGACTTTGTATACCTGTTGTAGCTTAGCGCAATGACAGTTTGAGTTGTACACATTAAGCTGTTAAGCATTTAAGTAGACAAGACAGATATGCAGTAAGACAGATATAGTATACTGCATTATTTTTTCCGCCTGCGTGCAATTATATCTGGACTCAATTACCTGACAATCTGCGAGTACTGCCCAATAGATTATATATTAAGGAAGAGATGTTAACATTTTGCAAAGATGCCCTGCTATCATTGAGGAAAGCTATCAGTAGAGTGAACAAAACATGTGTTTGGACACCAGGTGCTAATGATGCTTACCCAACAATCTCAGTTCTCTCCATTTGATCGACAAACGTTATTCACATGAAAGGATTTGCCTGTCAATTCCAGATTAGGTTTTGGATGCAAGAAGATTAGGAACAACATCCAGATTTATGCAATGATGCTCTCTAGTTTTACACTCGCATTTCCGTTTGCCCCCACACGTGTCTACATTAGCTTGTCCTGCAGAGAAACAGAATACTTTCCAGCACAGACTAAAATACTCTTTGTTTTTTTTCTTAATCGGATCAATTCATGAGCCATACCACTTGATGCAAGTAGATAAATCGAGGTGTACCACATGGGCAACTGTGTAATCAGGCTTTGAGCTGGGACACTTACTGTATTGATTAATAATTGTGTCATTCAATGTTGTAACCATGTGCTCACTTGCCTTTATACATTTCGATCTATTTCCTAAAATAAAAATCTTCTGAATTTTGACTGAGATGGAAAATTAGATTGCATGTCAGCACCAAGTGTATTTTTGCCTACAAACTAGTCCGACTGTAAAATAGCATTAAAGAAGGGGGATTGGGGTAAATGAACTGCCCACAGATGATGTTCCCCAATGTGTGTGTGTGTGTGTGTGGGGGGGGGGGGGGGGGAGGTGTTGTGATCTCAAATCTGGTGGAAAAGCTCAGCAAAACACTTGAAACGTTTATAGAAGAAAAGAATCTGAATGGAAACAGGGACAGGGAGCTTTGCTGACTGGCTGGTGGCAGTCAGAGCAACAGTCTTGAGAACATAGCTCCATCCTGCGGTTTCATGTCTAAGGAGAGAATTCAACACTGTCACATCCACTGAGATGACCCTATTAATACCCAACACCTGCGACTGAACCTGTCCCATCCGCACAGTTAATATTTGTCTCGTTCGAAAAAAAAATAAAGCACATTCATACAACAGAGTGATGAGGGATGTGCTGAAATATAACACGAGATGAATTGAAAGGCTTCTCGTGTTCATTCTCTCTCTCTGTCTCTTCTTTTTCCTCTCGTTCTTTCTTTCTTTCTTTTTTCTTTCTTTCTCTCTCTCTCTCTCTCTCTGTGTTTCTCTGTGTTTCTCACTAAAACTCGCTCCGGTTCTGTTAGGATCTGGAACTGGGACTTGTTATGGTCCGCCAGGAAGTAAGTAACCTTTCACTTCTGTTGGCTGAGAGTTCCTGACATCCTCGTCGTTTAAAAAGTGCTGAACATCTGAGGCAAAATCCTGACTGTTTGTGCACAGAGATGGGGTGGGACAGCGAGCGGCGCAGGGCTCATGGATGGGTCCCACTGCTGTGAATTTCCCACTGTGTTTATCTGTTGCACATTAAGGCGGAGAGGGAGGGAGTGAGAGGGAGGGAGGGAGGGAGAGAGGGAGTGAGAAAGAGGGAGGGAGTGAGTGAGTGAGTGAGTGGGAGGGAGGGAGGGAGGGAGAGAGAGAGAGAGAGAGAGGGAGTGAGTGAGTGAGTGAGTGAGTGAGTGAGGGGGGAGGGAGAGAGAGGAGGAGGGAGGGAGGGAGGGAGAGGGAGGGAGGGAGGGAGGGAGAGTGAGTGAGTGAGTGAGTGAGTGAGAGGGAGGGAGAGAGAGAGAGAGGGGGATGGAGGGAAGGAGGGAGAAGGAGAGTGAGTGAAGGAGAGAGTGAGAGGGAGGGAGGCTGTGTGACTCCTGGGGGAGTATCCTGGTACCGTCTTGGGAGCTGTTGGATACAAGACGTGAGTGGTATCCTCGGGGCAGTGCGCAGGCGGCGGCGTTCATCGGTCCCCACAGCACAGCACAGCACAGACAGACAGACAGACAGACAGGGCTGTGGGTGAGGATGGGATCAGCCGCGGCTCTGAGCTCTCCCGGTGTCTGAGTCTGTGACTGTGTGTGTGTGTGTGTGTGTGAGGCAGGAACCACAGGCGACCAGTCTCCAGCCCCCGGTGGGGCATTTGTTTTTTTTTTGGGTGGGGGGTGGGAGAGGGAGGGAGGGAGGGAGGGAGGAGGGTAAAAAAAAATCTACCATCTGATCTCAAGCTCGTCAACTTTGTTCTGCTGTGAGTGAGTGAGAGTGAGTGAGTGTGAGTGAGTGAGTGAGTGAGTGCGTGTCCTGGTGCTGCGGTTCTCCCCCCCTCTCAATGAGAGCCCTGCGGTACGAGCAGCAGTCCGGCCGCCGCGCTCCCCCCACCCCTCCCCTCCCCTCCCCTCCCCTCACCGGCCGTCAGCTCCCGGCGCGGCTCCTGCGCACCTCTCCCCCCCCCCTCCTCCCTCCACCTCCTCCTCTCTCCCTCTCTCTCCCCCTCTCCTCTCTCTCTCTCTCCGTTATGAGGAGCGCCGGAGCCGCAGTCGGGACCACTCGCTGAAGGGTCGCGCGCGGCAGTGAATGGCAGTGACATGGAGGAGGCGCCGTTCCACAAAGTCAGGACCAGGAGGAAGCGCTGCCCCTGCGCCCCCGGGTCGCCGCTGGACGCCGTCGACTGCGAGGACGAGTTCGACTGCAAGGAGCTGGAGTCCCTGTTCCAGACTTACAACCTGAAGCTGGAGCAGACCGCCACCCTGAAAGCCCTGGCCGTGCTCATCGTCATGACCGCCACCCTGGCCGTGGTGGAGCTGATGGCCGGTCCCAGGCTGACCATCTCCAAGGGGTCCCACCCGGTGCACTGCATCATCTTCGTCTCGCTCTTCATCGTGACCAACGTCAAGTACCTGCAGGTCACGCAGCTGCAGCAGATCGTCAAGCTCACTCTGCTCTTCGCCTTCACTTTTTCTTTCCTCTGCTGCCCCTTCTCGCTCGGAGCCCACGGCTTGGAGCCGTCCAGCTCCCCGGAGCGCGGCATGTGGCAGCTCATGCTGGTGACTTTCGTGGCCTATTCCCTCCTGCCCGTGCGGACCTTGCTGGCCGTGGTCTTCGGGCTGATGGTGGCTGTTTCTCACCTCATCGTGACCGCCACCTCGGTGACGTCCGAGAGGCAACGCTTCTGGCGCACTGTAAGTCCAGCTCCATCCACACACACATATACACAGACATATACACACAGACAGACACACACATATACACACACAGACACACACAGACACATATACACACACACAGACACACACATATACACACACACAGACACACACATACACATATACACACACAGACACACACACACACACACATATACACACACACACACACACATATACACACACACACACATATACACACACACACACACACACATAGACACACACATACACACACACACATATACACACATATATACACACACACAGACAGACACATATACACACACACAGACACACACATATACACACACACACAGACACACACATATACACACACACACAGATACACATATACACACACACACACACACACATATACACACACACATATACACACACACACATATACACACACACAGACACATACACGCACACACACACCTGTCTCGTTGCTCCTCCACAATTATGATGGCCCCAATATATCTTCCAAACACTTCCCCCCTCCAAAAAAAACACTTACTTTTTTTAAAAATCAATGCCATAACTTTTTTTTAAAAGGGGGTGTTCCAGACCTTTTTCGTTGTTGGGTTTGATTTCTTCATTAAAACAGAGGCAGAGAGGATTTGCCTTTCTTTGCCTTTGCCTTTTCTTTTTTATCCCCCTCCCCCCCCCCCCCCCAAAAAAAAAGAAGCTTAAAAACTTCACCCATGTTTAAAGGGCTGAAGTTCTGAGTTGGACGATCCCCAGAGGGACCCGCCTGCAGCAACTTGGCTCTGAACACCTGGTCAAAGCCAGCAGTTTGGTTCCATGGTGAGTTAGGGGATAAATATCTCATCAAACACACACACACACACACACACACACACCAAATATCTCCCTTGAATCTTCTTTTAATATTGGTTTGATTTGCAATCACAACATGGAATCCATTGGGATGGTGAGGTGCAGATCACATCTCTGCAGTGAACCCCACTTTCCATGTAAATTCAGGAGCAAATCAAAGGGATACTTTTCGACTGCAAATGCCTTTGTGAAGGATTCACCTCTTATTTCTCTCCCTGTCTGGAGAGTGATTATAATAATAATAATAATAATAATCCTTGCATTTGATATAGCGCTTTTCACGTCTTCTAGACGTCTCAAAGCGCTTCACAGAATATGCTGTAAAGTGAATTGATTGTATATTTGTGGGCGAACGCGGCAGCCAATTGCGCACAGCAATGTCCCACAAACAGTCATGGATTGAAAATGACCAATTTATTATTATTTTGGTTTTGGAGGGATTATTATTAGGTGTGTGGAGTAAGGAAACTTGCCCAAGGTTTCGCCCTCTGCCTGGAATTGAACTCAGGTCTCTCGCTTGCAAAGCGAGTGCTCTAACCACTGAGCTACAGGACTCCACTAATGATAGAGGAGCACCGGCTCCATTAATCGCTTTATCCCCAACATTGCTGCTGGTGCTCCACACACACCGTGTTAATGGTCAGTTTAACACCTATTGAACAATAATAATTTGGTCACTTCAATCCACCACTGTTTGTGGGACATTGCAGTGCGCAATTGGCTGCCGCGTTTCGCCCACAAATATACGGTCACTTCACTTTACGGTATATTCTGTGAAGCGCTTTGAGACGTCGAGAAGACATGAAAAGCGCTGTATCAAATGCAATGATTATTACTATTATCGTGACTCAAAAGCTCATGAAACCATCACATTAAAATGAAAGACACACATGGTCTTGTTTTTATGAATGAATGGGATTTTTGTACGGATCGGGAGGAGAAACACGGCTGTCACTTCCCAAATGTCGAAAGAATATATCATTAACTTTCTGCTAAACCTCAACCCAAACCCCTAAGTACCAGAGGTAACTGATTTTGCTGACCATAATAATACTTTGCAGTTAATTTGCGTCTCTACGTGATTCAAATCTTTATCAACTTTTGCTTTTTTTTAAAAAAAAATGCCAACCCATGTAATCGATGTTGACTGACAATTCAAAATTGGTTACTTGAAGCTTTTTTGAGCACTGATATCAGGACCAGGACTGGCATCGAGGGACGATTTCTCGAAACACTTGCTGGCTTGAAGCACTGGCCACATGGGGGGCAAGTGGGCAATCGAGGAAAGTTTGCAGCCAAAGCCCCATCACAGCACTGAGTAACCCGAGCCATGGAGAGGACTCAGGGAGTGAGGCGAGTGGGAAGCCTCGGACAGGCACAGAATCCACCGACAACCAGTGCATTGAGGTTTAATGATCCTGAGCAATAACAACACGAGTTGTCGTGTGTGTGTATATATATATATATATATATACACACACACAGCGCTTTCCACATGGGGAGGACGTCTCGGAGCGCTTCAAACACTGGCAGTCAGAGCTTGGGGAAGGGAGAGGGTGAATGTGGTCGAAATAACAGGCTCAGTTAATGCAAGATGGTGCTTCGTGTACTCATGTACACGCCATCGTCACTCGTGTGTATATGTGATTGCAGATCTCATAAATCGAGCTGTTTCTCTCTCTCTGTGTGTGTGTGTGTGTGTGTGTCTCTGGTAAGAGCAATGATCGTTGTTGTGTTTCTCTGCAGCTTGTGGCCAACGCTGTTCTGTTTGCCAGTGTGAACGTGTCCGGGGTGTTTGTGAGGATACTGACTGAGAGGGCACAGAGGAAAGCCTTTCTCCAAGCCAGGAACTACATCGAGGAGCGACTCCGCTTAGAAGATGAGAACGAGAAACAGGTAAAGTGGGTTCGATCTGAAACACAGAGGTGGAGCATTGAGAGAGAGAGAGAGAGAGAGAGAGAGTGAGAGAGAGAGAGAAAGAGAGAGAAACCTCATCCTTAAAAGGAAAGAACCGAAGAAAAACATGCAATAGTGAAGTGTGAAAAGGGGAATGAAAATGCAAGATTAAAGAATTGTTTTTTGTGTAAAAAAAAGGTCTATTCCTACAAGGACGTTAAACAAATTTAACCCAAAACATTTTTAAAAAATATGGAAAGTGCAACGTGAAACTTGAGCCCTACTGCATTTAATTACTGAACAGGCAAAATATAATAACGCAGGAAAAATAACAAGTCTCGATCCCGGTTTTAAACTATAGAAGTTGGGCAGATTGAAGCTTGGCAGATGCTGAATGCCTTTTTTTGTCGCTTGCAATTAGATCCCCTTTTATCCCATGAAATCCTAACTCACAACAACCTAACCAAGTCCCCAGCTGTGACCTTCTACAAACACTCGCATTGATACACAATACTCATATCTCCCGAAGCGTTTTCTTTTGTTGGCGAATCGATAGGTTTACGCAGTATTTATAGAATCCAAAAGGGTCTCTAACCTGTGCCATATAATGGGAGAACATCACAAAACAGCTGGAAGGATGTTTGAAGAAATGTTGATTTTCTGTTGACTTGTGATTCATAAAACGCCTTTTATATATTTATAGTCTTCAAAAAGAGAACTATTGGAGAAAGACTATAGTGTCCCTTAACCTATTTGTTTTGATAATTTGCAAAAAGATGGGTTAAGGGACACATTTCATGCCATATAATACAGTACTGATGTAACCCCTTTGTTGGTTTGGTGAAGGACAAATTCACTTGAAAAATGCAGGCAAATCATTATCAAATTAGTCATTCACTATTCAATTGTGGGTTGAAGGCCAACATCAGGACTTTGAACTCACACAGCTTCAGCTGACAGTCCAATGGAGTGCTGGGTGCAATGCTTTGTTAGAGATGCTGTACTTGGGAAACATCTAACTGAGGTCCTGCCTCCTGTTTGGGAGAGCATTAACATCCCATATCACTATTTGAAAAGTGAAGAGAGTTTCTCCCGGTGTCCTGAACAGTAATGCCCCAGGAAGAAAATGGTTATTCATTTGATGGCTGTTTGTAACACATTGGTTTCCGCATTCACCTAAAAAATACACTAATCACTTGACAGTAAAAATCCTGAGAGGTGCTTTGAGACTTCCACCCAATGTGAAAAATTCTATATCAAGGATTATTACTGTGAATGATAAGTTTGCTTTGATAGACAGAATAAAGTAAATGACTGATTACAGGTAAAGAATTTTGCACGGGAAACTGTCCTGCACATTACAAAAGACAAGAAGGGATGGCATTCCCACTGAATTCAAGAACAACCCTATATATATCTTGTTCTCCATAAATGTAAATTCCATTGTGGAGTCTTGTAACTCAGTGGTTAGAGCACTTGCCTCACAAGCGAAAGACCTGGGTCCGATTCCCAGCAGGGCGAAATGCTGGGCAAGTTTCCTTACTCCACACGCCTCTGTTTACCTTGCAGTAAGTAGGAACCTGGTTATCAGTCGATTGGCAGATCGCTTTTCTGCGGGGTAATAATTTCTTCTAAAAAACCCCAATAAATTGGTCACTCAATCCACAACTGTTTGTGGGACACTGCTGTGCGCAATTGGCTGCCACGTTTCGCTCACAATACAGTCAATTTACTTTACGGTATAAAGTGAAGTGCTTTGAGATGTCTTGAAGACATGATGAGGTGCTATATGAAATGCAAGAATTATTATTATTGTTATAACAATAACAAATTGGATTTATATAGAGCTTTCACGTCGAGAGGACGTCCCAATGCACTGGACAATGAGGATTTTGAACCTGAGCTGTGGTTTGGGATCAGAGAGGGGTTGAGAGCAAAGGAGGTGGAGGAGGGAAGATGACTGAAGGCATGGTTGAAATGGAAGGTCTTAAGATGGACCTTGAATGAGGCAAGGGAGGGGCTCTGGGATGGAGTGCCAGAGGGTGGGGGTGGAAAGGCTGAATACCTGACCGCCGAGAGTGGAGTGGGAAAGGTGGGGGATGTGTAGCAGCCCAGTGTCTTAATGTACTCAGTGGTCCATTCAGATATCTCTTGAGCACAATATTCACCTGGGACTGAACATACTCAGTGATAAGTTATAATATAAATTTACATTCATATAATGCCTTTCACATTGGGAGGATGTCCCAAGATGCTTGGTCATTATGGCACGGCACCCGAGTTGGGGGTGGGAGCCAAGTCGGGGAGGGGGGACATTTGACTGAATCCATGGTTAAAGAGGAAGGTCTTAAGGTAGAATAAAAAAAAATGCTCTCTAATAATAGTTTCTTAATCAGATACTTTTGGATCTGACTACCGGAAGTTGCAGTTGAAGCAAAAAAAACAACGTATTTAGGAGAAAACTTGATGATAATCTGAGGGAGAAGGGAATGGAGAGGTATGGGAGAGAGGATGAGGAGAATGGAGGCTTGTGTGGAGTATAAACAACAGCACGGGCTAGTTGGGCAAAAATGTCTGTTTCCGTGCTGCAACTTTCTATGTATTTATAATAATAATAATAGTCCTTGCAGTTGATATAGCACCTCATCGTGTTGTTGAGACATTTCAAAGTGCTTCACAAAATATACTATAAAGTGAATTGCTTGTTTTTAGCTATGCAATTAACATATTTAATAGATCTCCAAGGAAACCATACCATGATTTTAAACTAAAAATATTTCAAAATGTTCAGAAAATATCATTATGGATAAAATATTTGATTAATTTAAATTGTTTTCCTTTCTAACCCTAATTGAACATTTACCATTGAAGAGAATACTGGAAAGATGCTCATTGTGGTAGTTTCTCTCTGGGGCTGCGCATAATAATAATAATCCTTGCATTATATGTAGCACTTCTAGTATCAAAACGTTTCACAATGCTTGCCATGTAATTGCTATGAAGTGTAGTGACTGTCTTATTTGCAGGCAAACACAGCTTTCAATTTGCACATTGCAAGGTCCTAAAAACAGCCCTGAAGTGATTGCTGAATTTTAACTGAATGATTGTTGGTCAGGATACTGGGAATCTTGAGATATTTAACATCCACCTGAACAGGCAGATGGGACCTCACAGCAACATATAGTGTAAACTTAAACTTATTTATCCAGATACTGTCAGTTACACCTTTCCTGACGTTGATTGGTGCAGCCACCAATTTGTACAGTGTCTGGAGTGTAGTAATGTGAGCTGGCAGCCCAGAGCACACAACCAGCTCTGCATTGATTTCCATCTGTGTCCAATGGAAGTGAAGCAGAGCACTATACATTCACACCTAAGGGCATGATAAAGGCTTCACTACACAGTGGCAAATACCGGTTATGCTTTATCATTATTAAAGAATCAATCGGCTGAAATTTTATATGTTTTTAGGCTTGAAAAGAATATTGTCCTAAAATTTAAGATGGTGTTTTGAAAACAGTCTTGAATTCAGCCTTCATTTTGAAGCTAACTTCACAGCAGTACTGAGAAAGAACTGTGGAAAATCAACTTTGAAATTAAGACTGCATTTAAGATTACTTGGATGTAATGGTAATGTCAGATAGCAAGAGCCCTATGGGCCATATTTGCTCAGGATTTACAACCTCACTTTATCTGTATAATTGCAAACTGATCAGAAGCAGGATTTTAATGCCTAGTTTATCCTGCCCAGAGTGATTGGCAGGAAGAGCAGCATATAATTTGTGTTTGGGCATATGATTTTTAAAATTTCAACATCATAAGGTGGGCATTAAACAGTTAAGAATAATAGGCGATTGATTCAAAACTTAGATAACTGCTCCAATTCAGTGTGTAACTGTACATTGAATGAGTTCAGTGGTCTATAGCAGAGCCATTCCTTGGGGCTTGCTATGTAGGTTAATACATCCACTTTCAACAAGAGCTTGTAAGACAGGCTTTACAGAAGAGTCCTTTTCCGGAGGTTAATGCTGGCTTGATACTGCCTGGGGCAAAGCTGCTTTGCTCCCAGCAGTACAGCTACATTGAGCAGGAAGGCTAATTTATACTTCCAGCTCTACACAGTGTATTTGCTTCGATTCAGGACCAAACTTGATCTTGGCATTCTGTGCAAGTGTAGCTTAATGCATTGTGGAGAACACATGCCAAAGGTGGATGTTTCCTTTTATAATAATAGTAAGCCTTGCATTTGATTTAGCACTTTGTCATTTTGAAAGGTCTCAAATTGTTTCAAAAAGAGTTTCTTTAAAATGCATTGACTATGTATTTGTAGGTGAACGCAGCAGACAATTTGCACACAGCCACATTCCATAAACATCCTTTAAGTGAATCTTTTTTTTCCCTGTGGGATTGTTGGCCATGGTATCTGGCAAATCTTCTCGTTTAAAATAATGCAGTGAGATTTTTAAAGCCGACTTGAACAGACAGATGGGACCTTGGTTTTACACACCATCTGAAGCACCTCAGACAATTCAGCTCTTCCCTCTGGACCTCAGTATTTGGAAAAGTGATGCAGCCATTAAGGTTTTGACAGATCTACCACATTTTTTATGCCAATCATAAGCCAAACGAATTTCTGACAATATAGTAATAATAATCATAATCCTTGCATTTGATATAGCGCCTTAATTCTGTTTACCTAGCAGTAAGTAGGAACCCGGTTGTTAGTTGATTGGCAGATCGCTTTTCCGGGGATACTATATCTGGTAGTCCATAATAATCCCTTAAAAAAAAGGTAATAATTTGGCCACTCAATCCATGACTGTTTGTGGGACACTGCTGGGTGCAATTGGCTGCCGAGTTTCACCCACAAAATGTAGTCAATTCACTTTACAGTATAATCTGTGAAGTGCATTGAGACGTTTCGAAGACGTGATAAGGCGTTATATCAAATGCAAGGAGTATTATTATTAAAAATAAAGGTTCAGTTCTAGGGTAGAACAAGCACTGTATTTATAGACCCTTTAATCTTGGCAAATTTACTGAACTTTTGACCATAGATAAACATTTTGCATTTTCAAATGGCTATATAGAGTAACACATTCAGATTACCATATTTTTGCATTTGATTTGTGTTTCAGTGCATTCGCTAAACACTGTAAACCACTCTGACATTTCACTTCTCTATTGTCATCTGAGCCTGGTTCAGTTGGTAGCACTCTCACCTCCGAGAGTGTGGGTTGTAAATCATCTTAGATGACTCTCCAGTGTAATGCTTGGTGGGGGCTGTGGGGATGCTGCTACGTTGGCCTGACCTTTGGATGAGATATTAATGGCTGTTGCATTTGCCTACAAATTACAGTTACTACACTTATAGCGTTCAGTTTACAGTATACTCTGTGAAGCGCGTTAATAATTATAATAATAATAATAATAATCCTTGCATTTGATATAGCGCTTTTCACGTCTTCTTTTGTGGGCGAACGAGGCAGCCAATTGTGCACAGCAATGTCCCACAAACAGTCATGGATTGAAAATGACCAATTTATTATTGGTTTTGTTTTTGGAGGGATTATTATTAGGTGTGTGGAGTAAGGAAACTTGCCCAAGGTTTTGCCCTGCCTAGAATTGAACTAAGGTCTCTCACTTGCAAAGCGAGTGCTCTAACCACTGAGCTTTGAAATGTCTCGAAGACATAATAAGGAGCTATATCAAATGCAAGGATTATTATTAATTCCTGTGAAGCACTTTGAAACATCTCAACAGCACGATAAGGCGCTACATCAGATGGAAGGACTTTTATATTAGTATACCTCTGAGGTATGCTTAGATTATCTCATAAATTAATAATGGTGTGAGCACAGAACATATTGATTTCAAAGATGTTGTTGTATACTGGAAATGTAGCCATTTGTCGTTGCAGAATAAATTTATTTGTGAGCTTAGTGTGTTTATGTGCAAAATCTTTGTTAAAACTATTGGATCAATTCACCTTGTAATGATTTATCCCAAAAGCCCCATAAAATACCTGTAAACAATACATTTCATTTCCAAATTTCATAATAGTTTCCTTCAGGAAGAAATCTATATTCTTCTTACGCTGACTTACCTTGCAACATACACAACGTCCTGTCATTGTGCAGTAAGGCAGTGCTTTGAAGAGTTGCAGCAGTAGAGATCACATTCATTTTCCATAGATCACATAGGAACAGGAATAGGCCATTCAGCCTGTTGAGCTTGTTCTGCCATTTTATTAGATCATGACAGATCTTTTAATCCTATTTCCTTGCCTTTTCTTCATATTCCTTAATACCCGTACATCCCAAGTATAAATATCTACCTAATTCAATTTTAAACATCTCACGGAATTCTGCATCTGGGTGGGCTAGAGTTGTGGATAAATATAAATAAGTTAAGTAACTATAGTCATTTCTCGAATCTTGCACAAAGGAGTGTAAGTCACTTTGAACTGATCGCATCTCAGAAGCATTTTTACATTTCTCCGGATTTGTGATTTTCTGCAGGAAAGACTTCTAATGAGCCTGCTTCCCAGAAATGTAGCAATGGAAATGAAGGAAGATTTCCTGAAACCTCCGGAAAGGATATTTCACAAAATATACATCCAAAGACACGACAATGTCAGGTAGCACAATGTGCCTTTTTCACCGAGATCTTGAACGTGTATTATTCTCTGTGTAAATCTAGGTTTTGCATGTGGTTAATCACCTGAGGAATCCTGAACTGAAAGTCCATAGCATCTTGTAATATACATGTTTTAAGTATTTGTCACTTAATGGAGAACTGACTGCCAGAAACTATCAGTTTATGTAGCTCTCACAGACACAATGGCCTGAATGGTCGTCTGTGCCATGAATTCATGTGGTTCTATGGTTAAGCTGTTGTTAATGCAGGAAAAAAACATCAACACACTAAAGAGGAAACTTGATGCATCCATGAAAGGGAAGGGAATACAGGGATACAGGAATACAGGTGAGACTCATGTGGAATATAAACACCAGATGGACTAGTTGGGCCAAATGGCTATTTCAGTATTGTACATTCTGTGTCATTCTATGGAGAGTACATTATCACAACAAGACATCCCAGTTAATCTCTCTTCCCTTTCCTACCTTGGTTTTGCATAAATTTTCATAGATTGTGCAGCATAGAAACAAACAAGTGGAGTCCTGTAGCTCAGTGGTTAGAGCACTCGCCTTGCAAGCGAGAGACCTGAGTTCAATTCCAGGCAGAGCGAAACCTTGGGCAAGTTTCCTTACTCCACACGCCTAATAATAATTCCTCCAAAACAAAACAATAATAAATTGGTCATTTTCAATCCCCGACTGTTTGTGGGACATTGCTGTGCGCAATTGGCTGCCGCGTTCGCCCACAAATATACAGTCAATTCACTTTACAGTCTATTCTGTGAAGCGCTTTGGGACGTCCTCCCGACGTCAAAAGCGCTATATCAAATGCAAGGATTATTATTATTATTATTATTATTAAGCCATGCATCCCAACTGGTTCATGCCAGTGGTTATATTTTACTTTGAGTCTCCACCCACTCCCTATTTTCCCCCATAGTCTTCTATTCCCCTCTCCCTCATGTGAAGGTCCAACTTCCTCTTGAATGCAGTTATTCCATGGGCTTCAACCACTGCTTCAGACAGTGAGTTCCACATTCTCAGCACGCTCTGCGTGAAAAAATCTTACTAAATTCTCTTTTAGATCCCCTAGTCGGTATCTTATACTTGCTAAAATGTGTTTGCCAAAAGGGTGGTGTTGCAGCTATTAAGACGGTTGGCTGCACTTTTATATCCTGCTGCCACACAGATCCTAGCATTTTCGTGCTATTTGTGAAAAGCAACTAAACTCAGCTTTTAAAGGTAACCCCACAAGGTTAATAAAATAAATCAAAATGAAACATCGAAGGATAGTTGACAATTCATCAAAATTATTAAGAGAAGCCACAGTCTTTACTTTTAAAGGGACCTTGCGGCGATATAACGAGTGATATAGAACAGAATGCTATTGCTGAACTACCCTGTTGATAGATATGGCACTTTGCATTGCATTGCAGTGGAAACCCAAAAATACTTTTTTAAAAGCCAGACAGAATTGGCAAAGCACCATGCTACCATTTGTTGCCATTAGTGCTTCTGTTGATTGACTTACTCAGTTAATTTGCAAGACAATTTATTAGATGAAAATGGGCCTGTAAATGAAGAATAAGAATCAGTGCAGTTACTTTGACAACATTAAGTGCTTATTGTTTTATTTCAGCAATTAGAACGATAACAGCTGGTGCATTTAGTTCAGATACAAGTAGCTATAATGGAGAGAGTTCAATGAGGAGCACTAGGAACTTCTGTTTAAAGTATTTCAAATATTAATGTTCTAAATTTAAGTAGCTCTAATAACTTCATAACTTAATAGAAGAGTTGTTTACAGGATAATGAATTCTTGATCTGTCTGTGAGGCAAACATAGTTTATTACATTAATAATCTTTGCCTTTGATGTCTTACCTTTCACGTAGGGAGGATGTCTTGTTTTTGGTAAGGCGGGTGTCTGACACATTCCGAAACCCATTACCTTAAGAGTACCCAAACCAAACTTTTGGAAAAGATAAATTGTGGGATTGGAATGTGCACTCTCTCCCTGGAGGGACACATCCTGTTTACCTAATTCCAGAAAGTATTAGGCACCGGTTGGCAAGAGCCAAGGCTTGGAGACCCCAGAGTGTGTGTTGGGGTACTGCTGGAGTCTGACCAGCTAAAACCACATAGCTTGCTATTGATAGCACTGTGTGGCAAGAGCAGAACCTTACATAGATCAGATCTATGTTAACCATGGAATGAGTGTACATACACATCCTTGCACAATAATGTACTGTTAATTTTGCCAATGGAGCCTGAAATACCTGACTCCTGTAATTGGAAATATATCAAGTTGATACACCGGAATGTAATCTGGAGAATCGTTCCTGAGAGTCAGCTTGATATCCTTCCAGACACCGGCAGTATCCTATTTATAATAGTCACTACTGAAGTCATTTCCTGCACATTGTGCGCATGCATGCTGTGTACAGGAAGTGTCACTGACACCATTTCCTGCACATGATCAACATCTATGTGCTGCACACGGGTACTATGTGCAAGGAATATGCTAGCGGCAACCTGACGATCTGGAAGTCAGCCATATGCTTTAGTGCTTTAGTTATTGAACCTGTCATGTTATGATGAGGTTCCCCTGTAGCAAGCAATGGTATTTCAGTGTATCCCTTTAACTGGTGGAGTTTCAAAGAACTGTCTTATGTTTCTGGGGACTGAAATAAGTCATGGACTCTCAAGGTCATTTCATATAAATGTAATGTAAAATAAAGCAATTCAAGCGATTATTGTAATTGTATTCAAATCGTATATTATGGTATCTCAGAATGACTTGTGCAACCTTTCATGTAAAAGTTCAGATACCTGCTGTGTGAATAGACTCAATCAAAATCGTGATATTTTGTATGAAGTTTGTATGAAGTAATTAAAATAAGTAATTTAAATAATTTTAAAGCATTTTAAAAATCTTTGAAATTGTAATAGACAAGGGTCTGAACATTCCAGGGATTAGAATAAGCTTCATTGTCAAATTCAAAATAACTTTCACATTCATTTCAGTAGATTTTTTTAAAAAAAAATTGCGGTTAAAAATATAAATACTGAATGTAGTTGGATATTTATCAATCGTTATGAATTATTTATTTGTCAGTCAATTTTGTTTAAAGTTCTAGCCAACAATTCCCCAAATAAAATTATTCATTCACTTCATATTTTTGGGTCATTGCTGTGCCCCCCCCAAAAAACAGTTACTTTACAGTAAATCCTGTGAAGCACTTTGGACATCCTGCCGACAAGATTGATGCTATACCAATCATATAATTACATTATATTATTATATGATAAAAAATGCTTCTGAAATATACAAATTGTTGTAACCTTTTTTAACCCAATCAACAATCATGTTCAGCACTTCGTACTATTGTAACATAGACCAGTCGTGTGTGAAAACGTGCCCTAGTTTAAAAATGTGCTTAACACAGAATTTTGTTATGCAAAGTTAGAAGGTACAATATTTCTATATGACACAAGTCATTTCTGTCAAACAAGGCTACTGATTATCTATAATAGAAAGCTTATAAAGAAACCAAGATTTGGACCGCTGAAAGATATTCTGAATTAAATTCACAGTGGCTGATTCAGAAGTTAGAATAATGAAAGTTACTTTGCTGTGAATTCAAAATAGTTCTCATAGTTAAGGAACAAATGATCAAGAGTAAAAAAAAGGTTAATATTCTTGGAAGTCTTTTCTATCATAATAGTATAACAACAGTGCTCCAGGAGTATTTACTCTTAAGTTATTTTAATATCACAAACAATAAAATGTAAAGTTTCAGTTTGGATTTCTTTATAATGGGGATTTTTAAAATAAATATACTGTTGAAATCCTGTTGAGCTATGGGAATTCCACTCTGAAAGTAGAGGTTATATGTCCCTCCTTTCAACATAGACTGAAATTATATGTTCCACTAAAATTCAGATTAAACACGTTATTAAATTTAGCAGTTCTCAAGACGTGGTTAGTTTAGGTTTAGCAGATTTTGTGCAACAGAGGAAATGTTGGTCACCTTTACTTTAACATATATGAGACTTTAAAAATATTGTATAACTGTAACTGACTATTTACATATTGAAAGCATTTTTAATAAATAAATCTTAAGCAAAACAAATGGGGAAGATTTCCGTTGCTAATTATCTCTGCTAATGTGTTCTTGCGGATGTCTGGAAGCTCCCATCACAGTGTGAATGTTGTGTGAGTCAGTTGGGAGAGTGCCAGGCGAAATGGAGGGCACAGTGCACCATTCTTTCACAGATTTGCCCAGATGTGCAAGCAATGTGGGTGTGCTTCTACAGCACATTAAAGACCCTCCTCACGGTGTTATACAACAGATCCCGCTGCTAATGCCCTTGTTAATACAGCTGTTAAATCAGATTACTTTTGAAGTCAATTCCAATTAAACAAACGGAAGCAACTGTGACTTCATTTTCACATCAGCTGAATTAATGAATTATTGTAATTGGATCGAGTACTATTATTAAAACACGCTATCTGCTTTAAGTTGGTGTATAACCAGAGTTGATTAATTCTGTTCTCTTTGGGACAGCGCTATATTAAATAAACATTTGCAACTAAAATAATATGCAATGAGTTTAATGTAAAGTTTTGTAATGTTTCCAAATACTCAATTAAAATGATTATTATAGCTTCATTCACTCCCCATATTTGCAATTAAAAATCCAAGTTTCCTGTTCTAAAACTCCCAAGGTAGCTAAGCCTGAGTACTCAAACATTTTGAAATCCTTTTGTGTATATTATGGTCACATTTCACGAAGCCTTTTTGTGGAATGCAATTTAAAACCATTCTAAGTCATAAGCAGGTAATAAATATGTTTGAGATATGCCATTAATGAGCTCACTTTAAAATATTGGAACTCATTTACTTTGGAGAAGATATTCATTCTACTCTGGGAAATAAATATTTCTCTTGCTGGTCTCAATTTCTAGGTTCTAATGGTCTCTATTATTTGGCACTAGCTCATGCATTTATCATTGGAACAAACTGGCATTTTAAGAGGGAGGTCGACCTAACACTTAAACTAAGGCTCAAGTGACAATATTATGAAAATAGTGAGAAAATGTGAATCTCCTACCAAATTAAAATAGCCTTGATGAAAGTGTTTCATAAATGTGCCTTAAGGCAAATTAATCTGTTTATTTACACATTTACTGTAAAGTCCAATTTTGTCAAACAGTACAGCTTTAATACTAGTTAATTAGTGATTTTGCTTACATATGCTATAATGTCACTTGATTCTTTCTTCAATAGCATTTAAAAAATACTGGGTTCTGAGTGGTTTAATACTCCTCACATTTGGATGCTATTCAACTGAGCACTGGGGAGTGAGCCCAGTTCCAACACCCTTCGTGTTTATACTGGAGCATTACTAATCAAGCTGCTACTGAAACCATTTCCTCCCATTTATATTGAATGTTTAGCTGCCAAGAGTGAAGGACAAATGCAGCTTAATGAGTGTGCATGTACTCAAGGGGTGGTGTGTCTATTCAGAATGTGAAGGGAAACTCTCAGTGTCCTTGCCAACAATCCTCCAGATAAATTGGTCATTCATTTTATGGCTATTTGTGGGATATTGATAAGCACAAAGTGGCAGCTCTATTTTCCTACAAATACACATTTAGCAACAATTCCCTATGATGCAATTTGAGGAGTTTTTACATTAAAGACATTATAACAAATTCAAGAATTATTATTATAGGTGGTGAATATTGTCAATTAAGTGAAATTCAGTGTTAAAACAGTATAATTGTGGTTTGAAGATACAGCCATGAATATAGAATCACAATTGCAGAATTCCTTTCTTTATAGAACTAGTGAGGCATGATAGTTGCCATGGATCCTTTCCAGTGTCATTTACAAGAATGCAAAATGGTCACTCTGGGTTTATTCACTGGATATATGTGGCTCTAACTTATATTTGGTTAGTCTAGTATCTCCTGACGAAGATCGGAAAATGATTACAACAACAACTTGCATTTATATAGCATCCTTCACCCGGGGTAGCATCCCGGAGTACTTGACAGTGGTGGAGTCTGACGCCGAGCCAAGGGGAGAGGGAGGGGGGAGGTAACCGTAAGCACAATCAAAAAGGAAGGTCTTTAGGAGGGATTTGAAGGTGGGGAGGGAGGGGACAAGGCGGAGGGATTGAGGGAGAGAGTTCCAGAATTTCAGGGCATGCTGGCTGAAGGCACGGCCATTGATGGTGGGGCAGAAGGGATGAAGGGCTAACAGGAGGCTGGAGCTAGCTGAGCAGAGGCAGTGGCAGGTGGAGTGGGGGGGGTAAGCAGATCGGATAGGTAGGGAGTTACAACGGCATGAAGGGATTTGAAAACGAGTGAGAGTGTCTTGAAATTGATCCATTCAATAATTGGGAGCCCGTGGAGCCTGGCAAGGACTGGTGTGATGGGAGTACAGAAGTTTGTGAGGATGGAGAGAGAGGACGTCATTTGTTACTTTGATGAGCGCTGTCTCTGTGCTGTGGGCAGTGTGAATACCGGACTGGAGGGGAGTGGAGGGGGAGGTGTGAGTGAATTTGATTAGCAATGATGCATTCCAAAACTTTGCCCACGATGGGCAGGTTTGAGATGGGTCTGAAGTTTGTGAGTTTGGAGGGAATCGAGGGTAACTTTTTAAGGAGAGGAGTGATAACAGCGGTTTGGAGGGGGAGTGGGACAGAGCCTGTGGAGAGGAACTGGTTGATTGTGTCAGTCAGCAGTGGGCAGTGGAGGGGGAGTTGAGTGACCAGAAGCTGGGTGGGGAGGGGGGGGTTGATGCAACAGGTGGTGGGCTTCATCTGGGGGATGGTGAGGGAAAGGGAGGAGGAAGAGATGTGGGCAAAGGAGTGTAGGGTGGGGGCTGTGGTAGGAGCCGTGGTAGGAGGAGAGGATCATACTATTATTCAGAAGTATGGGCCTTATTTCAAAACATATTTTAACACAGTTTCTCAAATAAGGGATGGAATGCATTTTTGGAGTATCACAATTTTGATCCCTTATGTTTCAAATAGTCATGTTGCTTGGTAGAATCTTTACTATTTCGCTTGCAATTATTCGGAGACCCGAATACAATAACACTGTGCTGACATTTGGTTCCTTTTCTTTCCCCAGCATTCTGTTTGCAGATATAGTTGGCTTCACAAGCTTGGCATCCCAGTGCACCGCACAGGAACTGGTCAAACTATTAAATGAGCTTTTTGGCAAGTTTGATGAGCTAGCTACGGTAAGTGGACCTTTTTTAAGCAGCATTCTCATTAATGTTCCTTTTGTACTTATTTAGCTTTCACTCGTTTTGATTTATCCGTGATTACTGATAAGATTAGAACACTGGCCAGTTGGGTTCCCTGCCGCTTGCAATTCTATGTAATTTTGAGTGTTTATCTGCTTGGATTAATTTTGTAAAATGATATTGAAGCCTATGAGACCATCTCCTGAATATAGAAAAAGACCAACAAGTAATGACCATCAGAGGAATGCTCACCACAGTATGTTATTGACTTAAACATGAACTGGCAATATGAGACTTGTAGTGAAACAAGTCTTACAAAGAACATTAAATTCTTTGTTAAATTCTTTATGATTCTAAATATAGAATTAATACTCCACGTGAGCTCACAACTCGCCTATTGCTTCTCCTTAAAGCCATTCCTCTTAAACTCTCTTTCAGATTTGCTGGTGACTATCTTTTATGATATATTTGCTGTACATTTACAACTTGAATAGAATTATGGAATTGTAGAAGCCCATTATATTTTTGTTATCCCACTGTTCTTGTTGATCATACCAATCAGATACAAAAAAAAATTACCGCCCTTTTTGAAAGGCAAATTTTTTGAAATTTGTTGCCAGCAAAAGAAAATTATAATATTTTTCAGTAAAAATGGTCAAATTCCTCAGGCATAAAACATAATTCATTATTATCTTATCGTACTTCAATCCATATTTAACTTTTTCAATTCCTACAAATATCTTCCTTTTATTGGGAACCAAAATATGGCGATTTCAAATGTTAATCTTTGAATAAAGAATCTGGAAGCACTTTGCACTGACTTGTGAGAACTCTTTCCAATGTGAACTACTTTTGAAGTGGAGTTCCTGTGAGTTGGAGTGAATTTCCTGATGTACTAAGAGTCTACACATAGATTTTGTAATTCAGGAGTTCTGTTTGAAATTGTTGCCTTTTAGATTGTTCTTTTTAAGGCATAAAAAGGACCCTCCTTAGGCTTTACCCTCAGATAAAGGACTCACACCTCCAGGTTTTTTGGAATGTACTTTTTAGATGTTATCCTTCATTCTGGGAGATATCAGCTCTTCCAATCCTTTGCACCAGTTTGCCAATCTCCTGCAGTGAGATAGTGTGGCTCCTGATGCATCTCCCTCTCCCAGCGCAGCTCAGATCAATAATTGAGCTGAGTGGGGAATTAAAGCTGTGTTCTTCCTCAGGATACCACAAATTCATGCTGCAATGTGCACTGCAATATATTTTACTGTAATATTCTGGAAAGTATTGGACACCCATAACAATAATAATAATGCAGAAGAGGTTGTTTTCAAGTCAGTTTGAAATATTAGGATTTGAAGAGAACTAGAGTGGCAGCTAGAGTAGATACCCTGAAAAGTTACAAGTCCTCATGGGCTCTGAGTGACTACACCAGATAGGATGATATTGGACACTTCAGAAGCACTTCTCTTATTCAATCAAGGTCGCTCTTTGTTATATAGCAACACTGTTGGGTTCACGTGAGTTACTTGATTTTGTAATAGATTCAATTGGATTTAAAATTCCTCAAATATTCAACAGTCGGATTATCTTGATTATGTTACCATTTATAGCCCAGTTCAGTTCAGAATTCCGAATCTTGATTTTTTTTTCAATTACAAAACTACAATGTTTCATTATTAAGCTGAAATGCAAAGTAATCTTGAAATTTATATTTACTTGTAGAATTGTTGTTTCAGTTTTATTTTATGCTTTTATAGCTAGTTCTAGCACAGAAACTAATCAGTATCCTCTGGAAAATTGTGCCTAAATTCTTTGTAATTATGGCATGAAATACAATTCAATGTAAATAATAATCCCAAGTGAGTCATTTCAAGAGATCATAATATGTCTAGAATTATAGAAGCAAAGCTCAAGATTTGAATATTTGCTAAGCTTGAATGTTATATGAACCTTCTTATCTCGAGAGTTAATTATTTTGATTTGTATATGGTTACTATTTTGCCTTTTTGCCCTTGTCCAGAAAATGGACTAAGCTGACAAGTTGCAAATTTGAGCCTGAACATGAGGGGGAGGGGAGTGGGGATGGGGATGGGAAGTGGGGGTGGATCTGTGTTAATGCTCCTGACCTAGGAATTAGAATTCATTAGAATACATTAGAATATAGAGCACAGAAACAGGCCATTCGGCCCAACTGGTCTATGCTGGTGTTTATGCTTCACATGAGCCTCCTCTTGCCCTTCCTCAAGCCTTCAAGCATAACCTTCTATTCCTTTCTCCCTCATGTAACTATTTAATATTCCCTTAAACTGGAAGTATAACATTTCATATGGCAAGAGTATTAAACCTCCCTGGATCCATCTCTACTCCCAAATTACCGCCCCATCTCCAACCTCCCTTTCCTCTTCAAGGTCCTTCCTCTCCCACCACTCCCTTCACGAACTCCTCCAATCGGGTTTCCGTTCCGCCCACGGCACAGAAACCGCCCTGATCAAAGTAACAAATGACATTTTGTCCATCTGTGACCAGGGTTCCCTCTGCCTCCTCATCCTCCTTGAACTCTCTGCTGCCTTCGACACCATTGACCACTCAATCCTCATCCACTGCCTCTCCTCTCACCTCAACCTTCATGGCTCTATCCTTGACTGGTTCAGATTGTATCTCTCACACCGCCTCCACTTCATCCACACAAACAGTTTCTCCTCTCCCGCATTATCTCGTGCGGCATTCCTCAGGGATCTGTCCTTGGTCGCCTCCTCTTCAATATCTATATGCTGCCTCTTGGTGGTCAACTTCCACATGAATGTGGATGACATGCAACTTTACCTCTCTGCCTCCACCCTTGACTCCAGGACCACTGCTGTCCTGACTGAATGTCTGTCAGAAATCAAGTCTTGGATGAGAGCTAACTTTCTTCAGTTGAACGGCAACAAGACCGAGGCTCTCCTGATTGGCTCCCATCAGTGCCTCCATATCTCAGGAGCTGACAGCATTACCATCCATGGTTGCACACTTCACCATACTAAGCCAGTTCAGAACCTTGGCATCTTGTTTGACCCTCAACTATCCTTTCTATCCCACGTCCATGCCATGACCGCTATGCCATCCCCCATCTCCGTAACATCACCCAGCTCCACCATTGTTTCCCAACACAGGCTGCCGGAACCCTCATATGTGCGTTCATAACATCCAGGCTTGATTATGCAAACTCCTTGCTTGTCGGCCTCCCCAACTCCGCCCTCCATAGGCTGCAGATCATCCAGAACTCTGTAGTCTGTGTCCTCTCCCGCACCGGACTCTGTGATCCTATCACCCCCATCCTCGCCCAACTCCACTGGCTTCCCATCACACAGAGGATATAGTTCAAGATCCTGGTCCTCACCTTCAAAGCCCTCCATTGTCTTGCTCCCCCTACCTCTGTGATCTCCTAACCCCCTACCTTGCTGCTTCACATCCCCCGCCTCACCCGCCCCACCATCGGCGGGCGAGCCTTCTGCCACTTGGCCCCCATCTTCTGAAATTCCATCCTACAGTCCCTCCACCTCACCCCCTCCCTTGCCTCCTTCAAGCCCCATCTCAAGACCCTCCTCTTCAACTGTGCTTTCAATCACCCTGCTTCCCCCCTGCTCTCCACTCTCCCCAATCCTGACCTGCAGCTCGGGTCCGAAACTCTGACTGTCCAGCGCCTTGGGACGTCCTCCTGACACGAAAGATGCCTTAGAGAAAGTTTAAGGGAATTTGTTTATTCTCAGATCTCTCCTCGTTAGCGTATTTGATTAATCACTGAATATGGGATCAGATAGTTCAAATGCCAATGGGTTCATCCATCTCTTCAACCATTTAGCCTCTTTCAAAGTCATTAAATGAATTCAGCAATTGTAGGTGTTCCCTATATAATGCTAGTGGGTTCAATTGGCTTGAATTAAAGAAGAGCTGTTAATGATGGCCTATGTTGTTCATCAATGAAACTTAGGAAGCATAAATGGCTTTAACCCTGTGATTTAAAATTATACACTGGCCAAATGTTATAAAAAGTATCCATGCTGGAAACTGTAGTTATCACTATTTTATCAACAGAACACTGAGACTGCATTAGTGCCTGAAGTTCAGCAAAACTATCTATATTATTAATGAAATTTATAAAGAGGGGAATGGTCACTCAGGTATTTGACACACTTGGAAACCCATCACCATACTTAAGAGTATCCAAACCGATTAAGAGTTTTATATATGCAGGCCACTTACAAATGGAAATTTCTCTGTGTCTGGAATGGAATGCACACTCTCTCTATCGGAGGACCATACCCTACTTCCCAAATTCCATGGGGTATTAAGCGCAGATTGGTTAAAGCCAAAGCTTGGGGTTCCCATAGTGTACACTGGTTTACTGTTGGAATTCGTCTTGCAAAAACCGCATAGGCTTCCATTGAGAGCACTTTCTGCTCTCCTGTCCAGTTCGAACCACTCTACCCGTTAGGGCTTTGACTTGCAGGGTTAACAGCTGAAGGGGAAGAATCCCTCTCAGTGACTGATCTGCCCTTCCAAGTCACACCCATGATCCAGACTCTCTGCTCTACAATCAGTGCTCCACTAGAGCACTGTGGAGTCATTTAGCTGAACAACTGGATTACTGGGACTACTACGGAGGGTTGATTCAACTTCAACATTTCATTGTGAAGAACACCATCTTGGAGCCCGCTCAGCTCCAAGGACACCCTGGTTATCTCACCACCTGCACCTTCCTCCACCTACCCCCCCCCCACCCACCCTCCCAAAGAAAAGGAAGATGTGCTTGTTTTCCTGTAAATGTGCATTCTTATTATTGCAGTGTTTGTGCAATCTGTAATTGTGGCGTTTACAGGCAATTGGTTGTATCTTCATTGAAGTGAATTCCAGGCAGGGCGAAACCTTGGGCAAGTTTCCTTACTCCACACGCCTGATCCCTCCACATCCCTCCAAAACAAAACAATAATAAAAAATTGGTCATTTTCAATCCACAACTG